AAAATATTTGAACTGTCTTGGAAAAAAAACAACAGAAAAAAACCCCTCCATCCTCACCTAGCTCCCTGGTCAGATGCTGCTATTAAGATTCCTTTGTCTGGTGTAGTAGCTTTAATTAACTAAGAGAGAACATACAACTGTTCTCTCCAAGGGCTAAGACATAGTCAAAATTATTACTTCTGGAGTGCCACTGTACAGACTGTACATGGATAAAAGTGTTATTTTACAGTGAATGATTATATCCATTAATATAACTTACCATAGATATCCATTAATATAACTTACCAGAGAGAAGACGTGTTTCTATTAGTAACAGTAGGAATTCCTTTGTTATGATGCATTTAGGAGTTAGGCTAAAAAAGAAAATCCCCAGAGTTGCTGATAATTTGTATAGTTAGTAAACTTCTGTAAAATAAAGATCAAAACCAACTGTTGTGTATTTTTAAGTTGTATGTCAAAAGCATTTAAGCGTGTTCATCTCTTGTTGTTTGAATTACTATTTCATATTTTCTCTTCCAAGAGTTTGATGCTATATATCCATTAGCTCTTTATATAAAGTACCCATTGGATACAGAAGTTTTGATCCATTATGAATATATTCACTTGAAAACTAAGAAAATGAATGCAAAATAATGCAAAAATAATCAGCAACTTTTTACTACTTATCCCATTACTCTGTGTCTCAGAGCATGCTGAACTGCTTTTCCCCATAAAATTTATGGGGAAATTTATTCAATAAAGTGTCTTTCCCCATGTAATTTCTTCCCACATGAAGGAATACAGTCATTCCTTTGCAATGTTTCTCTATATGTTTCTGCAAAATTATTTTTTAATGCCATAAAATACTGACATTTCCTAGCAAAGTCTCCTTCAGTCTTTAGGCACTCTACTGGAAAGCATTTACCTAAAGTTATTGCTATGCTTTTCTTCTAACTTTTCCCTGCATTCCCAGTGCTGCTTTTGAAGACTAACCCCAAAGGGGCTGCCTGGTCCAGCAGTCTTTGACCTTGATCAACACTTAACATTTGGCAGGCAAGAGAGAGAGGAAAAAAAGCGCAAATTTCTTTCAGTGCTGATACTGAAGATTATTTATATGATGCTACCTGCTTATGCTACTAAACTTTACAAAACTGCAAGACGTTTTCTGCTTAAAAAGGCAGCAAGTTATGAAAAGCAACTTTACCTTAGAGAAAGGCAGGCCGGGCAAACTGCCAAGGAAGTGTCTGGAGGATGCCCGGTGCAGTGAAGATCAAGACATACCTGGATACCCGATTTTTTTTTTCTGAGTACAGAATTCTGCTGCTTTGCTAGCCACGGCTTTGAAAGCCACGCAGCAGGTCAGCAGCTTCTCCCTGGCTTGAGTTTGTGCTCGCTGCGACAACCACCAAGGGCTAAGCTTTAGGAAAGCCTCCCCTCCTGCATCTCCTCTTATCTGCCCGGACAACAACCAGCACAACAAATACAGCCCTGCAGAAGCTCATCTGTTCTTTAAAGCACTTCTAAACATTGGCACTTAAACCATCTTTTTACTGACTGTGCAATGCTGTTAAACCAAAACCACCAAATCACCTTTAATGACCAAATTTAAATCAGCAATAAGAAATCTCAGTTTAAAATATCGACTTTAATCTTTGCATTTGAACTTCTTGCTATTTTTCTAAAGAAGTAATTGAGGAGTCTTTTAGATTAGAAATTATTTATACATCTTGCTTTGCAGATGTGTATAGTCTTTGCTTTAAACTTGATGCTCAGCTTTTCTGACCACAAAGGTACAACATAAACGTTCAAGTTTAGTTTAATATACATGTATTCAGTCTTACAATTTAGATTTTGTAACAGAAGGACATTTTTATTTAAAGACTAACAGATCTGAGCAAAAGATTAAAGCCTTTTAATCATTATGTGTGTGTGTCAAACTGCTTTAGAATGCAAGCTGAAATTTAATGAATTTGAAGAAAAACACCATTCTATAATTGATTTGTTATGTGACACAAAGGAGAAGAGATTAGAAGTGTTTCTCGCTTTAAAGCAACTGATTTATTAACCTATGGTAATAGAATCTGTATTTGGTGAGTTGAATTAATGGCTTTCTGATCCCTCTGTTCTTCAGTGTTTTAGAACTCACTGCTACCACTTTGTCACACTCTTTATTCATGGATTGGAAGAGAAGAAGAAACATCCCCGTTTTTACAATAACTTGTTTACAGTTCTTAGTTTTAAAGAATTAAACTGAGAAAACTGAAAACAAGACAACATTTTATCTGCATTTGCTGATAAGACCATATCTACCAAAAGCTGGCTTGGCAGTTAAAAGCCCATGGCTCTAGATGAGAAATCCAAGACTTCAGTAACTCACTTCTTTGACTTTTTATAGCATCAAACATAATAAAAATATATTGCAAGTTGGCACTGTTGGAGTGTAATTTTAATAGTTTTGAAGAGAGCATAGCTTTAAATTCATAATTCCGTTTAAATGATTGTTTAAAACTCTCTCGGACGTGATCCAAACATTGCAGCCCCTCCCGGATCCCTTAGCTCTAAGCCACTACTGGACAATCAGAGCATCTGTGGTGAACTGGAACAGGAGCATGTGGCATAAACAGAATAACAGAATAACAAACCCACCCGCTCTACTTTGTATAGTTAATATTGCAGAGTTACAAGGCTTGGTAAATCTTTGAATACAAATGCCATAGGGCCTGTGAATAGCTATATATATATGCTATAGCTTGTAGTTTAAGTACCGCATATGATTTATAAAAGGAATAAAGCAAACGAAGCTTGAAATTAAAGACCGCCCACAGAAGAGTGTAATTCATGATGGAAGAAAGCAAACAGATCTAAGTTTAACTAGCAGGAAGCCTTACACCAAGAGCTGAAAATGGCTGAAAAGCAGGATCACATGGTAGAACTGGGCTGGCAAGATTAACGAGGCAACAGGTAGGGAGACTGATGCAGGCTATCAGGAAGCAGGAGATAAGACCTGAAATGCAGCTGCAGCCCTCCTCGAGAAGGAGACAGCAATCTAGGCAACAACACCCACTGCATTTGAATGTTTACCCTGTGTCACCATTATGTTTGTCTTACAAAACTCTGTTCTGTGCAGCAGCTATGGGAGAGCAGCAGTTATGGTCCATGCACCCAGGCGTGACGAGGCAGAACTCCTCAATTACCCAAGCACATCTCCATGATGCCTTAACGCCTGTACTCATAGGTTTTTTGTGAATAGAGAGTTAAAATATATTGGAGAGCAATAAATATACAAACATGGAAGATGCAAAGAAAATCATATAGTCCTCCTCCTCCCCACCCTCCCACATTGATCTGACTTGGAGCAGATGCTTTCCTGATCTCTCTGTGGATGCCAGCAAGTCCCGTGTCTCCATGTGTACACAGCAAGAGCGAACCCAAGTCACATGCTTTTCTAGATGCTCTCTCTTGCATGTCACTTGGCTTAAATTCTTCTCCCATCTGCTTCTAAATCATTCAGAAGGAAGTCTTTTAATGAGCAGGCAAATCTATTTTCCCTCTTTGGAGCTGATTGCAGGCGAAGCACATGTCACTCCTGCACAGGTCTTAGCTGCAGGACGCTCAGGCAGAGGTGCTCGTGTGTCCTCAGAGTCACCACCAGGCATCACCTGTGTAATGAAGTGGACCCCTTCAGAACAAGTGAGCTTTCTGTTTTGCAAAGAAAGCCGGATGCTGGTCACACGAAGTGGCACAAAAAGTGTAAATATTTAACTTCCCGTGCTATGTCAGTCTTACTGTGAGGTATAATGGGCCCCGATTATCATCTCCCACTGCTCAAGTTCTAGTGACTTGAAAGCCATTAAACTTCCTGGATGCCAAGAGGAGCAGTCGAGCTGCTTCTACTGTCTGCTATATCTTTGTGATAGATTAAAATACAGCCCTTGTGATAGATTAAAATACAGCCCTCTGCCAGTAGTTTGCCATGCTTTGCTAATCAGGTGACATGATTTATTTTGCACTGATAGTGCTAGCTGTCAGAATGAGGCAGCAATGAGTAGGAAACAGATTTTTACTTTCTGCTAGAAAGGCTCTTCTGTAGAGGAAAATCTTTAAAGTGACAAGGTTATGTATTACCATTATCACATTTTCAAATACATTTCACAATTAAACGCTTTTGAAGTCAGCTTGCATGTTCTAAATTAAATATCCTCAGATAATGTACTTCAGATAAGCTAAGTGTTATTTGTTTTGGGAAGCTACAGTCTGATCTTCCCACAACACTCAAAGATACTTCACTGGCAGGTGATTAATCCAGTTAAACAGCCTTTATATCTTTGAAGTAAACTCATTTACGTATGTCACAAGTATAGCTTTAGACAAAATTGCTCTGAAAACTAGAATGCATTTGATGAATGATCCATTGTGGGCATTTTATGACCCAGCTGCACTGTGCTATATGAGGAAAAAAGTCTGCCTGTGGTCAAAAACATTCCTGATGCTCCTTCCGTGAGAAGAACTCACAGAAAGACTTGGACAGATCCTCATACTCTGTTCACCTGCACACACTGTAGAGATGGCAACTAGTCACATGCTTAATTAGAGAATGGGGCTTCATGTTGATCTCCTGTGGGAATAAAAGGAGTCCCTTAGAGCACAACCAAACTTAAAAACACAGGGTTAAAGCAGTAACTCACTTTCTTCCCCCAAGACAGTGTCCACTTATGATGAGATACCCTGAGGCTCCTTTAATGTTCGAAAGCTATTTTGACCATTATGCTGCCACTCAGGAGGCTGCTGCTATGCAAAGGTTCAACGGGTGGCATTCCCACCAAGGCAAGGATAACTTGGGAAAACTAAGCAAGGACAACTAAGCAACAATTTCCTAGAAAAGTTAGAGCAAAGCATCAACGGGAAGGATGAAAAGCATTGCAGTGTAACATAAAAAAAAAAGGGGGGGGGGGGAGGAAGAACTAAGCTGTTAATCTTCATTAGCTCACTTCTCATCAATTTGCACCTTGATTTTCTACCTGAATGAGTTTAATTATGCAAGTGATCAGCTTCCATTTTCCCTGAGTCTTCAACACACGGAGGCGACAGTCGAGGCCAGGCGCCTTCTGTGGCATCAGCTTTCTTTTGCTAACGCTGGTTTGGCCTTTCCATCACAGTGACACTTCCTTGGAAGGCTGGACAAATAAACATGCATAATCCAATAAATGCACATGCGCAAATCTAGAGACCTTTCTCAACATAAGCTGTCCTTTCTGCTGACGTATCCAGGAATTAGTGAGACACGATCCCAATGATTTGACATACTCATCTGTGCAAACGATCAGACCCTCAGACCTCATCTGTGCAAATGCCAGAGGAATTTGGCATGTGCAAGGCATTGCTTACTTGGCTTAAGCAAATGCCCGAAGCACTCAGGCTGCTGACACAGTATCACCGATCCATATGGGTGCATATGAAAACTGGCAAAAATATACAATGCTGATATTAAAATAGTGGTATCTAAGCTAATTCAAAACTATTGCAAAATATTTTAGCTTCCAGGTCCTGTGCTTTTTAGAATTTCCTTTACAAGCAAGAAAGTTCAAAACCTGTTTGACTTGAAAAATAAAGTCAAGATTCTCAGAGAACATGATGTCTTAACAAACTAAAATTTGATAATATTGGAAGATGATAATATGGGAATCTTACCCAGGACGGCATGGGCACATTCTCATCCTCTGAGACAAAATTAGTTAAGGTCTTTGTTAAAATTAGTTAGTAGAGAGGCAGAAAGAAAGTTCAATAAATGAGAATCAGGAATATGAACTTTAGCTGATGACTAGTCAAACACTGGTAACAAACCATCACTGAGCCTGGTTACAACCTGCAACTGAAGAAAGAAAAGACGACAAAGCTGGAAACTTCCTGTATGCTACAGAGCTTTTGGAGGATAAAAAGGGTCTTTCTTGTTCTCCTAGAGAACAAGTAGGTCAGGGTCATTGTAAACAACATCAACCCTCAAGTTCATCAAACTACAGGATCATCTACACTACAGCAAGCGTGTAATATGTGTGGGGTAAACTAGGGAAGATGAAACAAATCTGTCATTATAACTTCACAACAGAGTTACCACCAACTTCAGTCATTCTGAACAGCTCTTGGAGACTGGTACCAGCCCATCTGTTACATTATATTCAAAGGGAAAACATCTAAATTCTACATTTTCTAAGATAACAAACTGAATATTCTCTTTTCTCTCCTTTAAGTATAAATTGAAAGACAAACAAATCAGAAAAAATAAGGTTTCTGTAAGTCTGACACCTTCTGAAAAAGAAGATATGTCAGTTCCCACATTGGAAAGTGTTGACTACACTTTTTTTTTTTTTTTTTTTAATAAAATGGTTATTTTTTTTCTATCTAAACCACTCTGGAGTTTCAGTTGTATGCTCCACTTTGCTGATAATGGTCACTGTAACTTGCAGTACAAATTAGTGTTTGTATCCGCTTGTTCTTTTCTCTAAAATAATTTTGTAAGTGTTCAAATATACATAATTTAATCCATTCTTTTAACTTACAGCCCTAACCATACCAGCATCCACTTTTCTACCAGCAGTAACACCGAACTTCAGTAAGAAAATACCAGTAAAGGTTTTGCTTGTTTTTATCTACTGGCAGTTCCAATTCTTGCTGAAAATACTTGGGCAAAATGAATTGGTTGAAAAATAGAAGTATACAGAGGTGCAGAGATTGTAACATATCCTTTTACCTTCGACTGCTAAGCAGAGGCCTGCAAAACATTAAATCCTGGTCTTTATTTCACTTTCCTTGGCAAAACATTAAATCCTGGTCTTTATTTCACTTTCCTTGGCCTAGTGGGAAAGACTCTGACCTGAAAGAAAAACTTGATGCTACCAATCTCAACACGGACCTGGCTAGTGTTTTTAGCATCACCAGGATTTCCTGTTATACCTCAAATCCTACCAATTTTTGGTGCTTCATTTTACTATCAGAGTCTTCGATGTAATTAGGCTTGATGGCAAGGTTAAACAATAGTGATTTCTGCTATGGAAAAATTTTGTAATTACAGAGCTAAAAAGTCAGACATTGATTTTATGTCCTAGAGCTTGAAACAGGCACTTCATTTTTTCAGCACGATTTTTCACTTGTTCACTGTTTTTTTTCCACTTGAAAATGTCTTGAAAAAATAACTGAGAAGAATGAAAAAGGAATAATATACATAATTTAAACAGTATCTGAAAATACCAATAATTATTACAATATGAAAATCTGCTTGAAAATATTTTCAAGTATGAGACCATACTTACAAGTTGCTCATCTGCAAAATTTCAAAATGTTTCCATTTTTAAATGTTTGCCAACGGTTTCAGTGCAACTTATTGAAGACTCTGTTAGTCCTTTTATCTTTTTCTTTCTCAAGTAAAAGTTCAGCTTTTTTTCAGTTAAATGAAAATAAAAAGTTTGCCCTCCCTTTATTAGCTATATTTACTTTGACCAGCATAAACTCAGCCTAGACCAACATTACTATTTGAACATGCAGCAGCAATAATACAGAAGAGGTCTACAGACAAAAAATGAGGCTGTAGTTACTACAGGCTATACTTGTATCAAATAACTTAATTTCTGCTGCCCTCTTCCCCTACTAGTGCAAAAGTCACCAGTAAATATTTGAGAAGGATAATAAATAAAACTCACATTGTTGTTTTCATCTTAATTACGTGAGTCCCAGCGTTACCTGATGGTGTGAGCTCAAGACCAAAGCAAGTGATGCCCAGCAGGTCACCAAGGATCTGCTCCACCACAGATGAAGAACAATCAAGTTGCTGCCTCTCCCATTCCCAGCTGTAGGTTTCTTTAGAACCACTATTTTTTTTTTCAGTGCCTGTAACTATTACTTTTTAAATTTCAGTGTGTTCTTTCGTGTTCCCAGGAGTAACAGTCCTATCAGACCAGATTTGCCTGTTGGACCATGAAATTCCCAGAAGAGCCACCTACAACAAAAACAGAAGGATGACCAGCTTAATGCCTAATCTGTACATAGCAACAATACGTGAAAATTAGATAGAAAATATTTCAGCTGTTGCTACTCTGATGCTGACAGAACCTTCAGAAGAATATCAGGCTTTATTTAAAACCCATCCTGGCTCTTTTGATGAGAACACACTTTTGGGTACAGTCCAACCCACCTACAACATGATGGGCGTGGGCAACCTGCATGTTCCAGTGTGGAGCACCTTGCCCATCTCCTTCTGAGCCAGGTGCACTAGCAAGGCTGCACGTATGGGACATGCTGCAGCTTTGCCTCAGCAAGTAAAGCAGCACTTCTGTTCCTACAGCATCATTTTCCAATCAATACAGATAAAACTTTTGTTAAATCTGAGACATAACGAATACCAATTCTGTCCTGCCCCAGTCAACCAACTTTACTGATCTCTGCTTTGAAAGGGAAAAAATAAGAATAGTTGGAAAAGACAGTGAAAGGAAATTTGCTGTATGCCCCCCTGCATTAAATCCATTTAGACATAACTAGATGTTAACGATTCTTCACATGCTTTGCTTTGATATAGCACTTAGAACATACATTTGTTCACTGTATTAGTTATACGCAAAGCTAGGACAGACCCTGCAGAGAAACACAACTGGGGAAAAAATATGCCTGTGAAATAATTATATTCCTGGAAAAGAAATGCTAAAATAGAGAGAATGACTCATGGCAGAAGATTACAAAGGCAGAAGTAATTAATTTTGCACTTACTGCTTATTCCATAAGAGGAGAAAGTACAGAAAGGATCACACGCATTACGAGTCAGCCAACGAGGAGGCTTTGCCCTTGGCACCTTCCCCCTTGCAGTTGGTTCCAGGCTGCTGCCCTGAGGCCACGAGCAGCTCGGGGGACAGGCAGGGAACCCTGTGCTCAGATTACTGAACACTCTCAACTAAAAGTTTTTATTTTTTTAATAGTTGCATAGAAATTTAGTAAATAAGCTCTTTAGGTGAAAAAAATCCTTATCGACACACACAAAAGCAAAACAAAACGAACAAACTAAAAACAGACGTTCTGTTCAAAATACTGTTCTTACTTGGAATAGTTGGTATTATAAAACTACAACTCCATACTAGGGAGGATTTAGCAACACGAGAACCTTAGCCTCAAATGTCACATTCCTCCTCTTACCTTCGAGCAAAGCACAAGAAATGTCTATAATATTTCACAACACTCCCATTGTTATGCAAGGGAAATGAAGAGGTTTGTTATCGAAAGTCGGGCTCATAGAATCTTAGAAGCCAACACTGAAAATAACACACTTGCTACGTAAATGTTTTCAGGACTAATCAACAGGAAATCTGAAAATAAAAAGCAAAAAACCAAAACACAAAACAAACTAACTTTTCTTGTAAAATCACAAAAAGAAATAAAAATAAGGAAAAACAAACAGGTCAGATATCAGAAGTATTTTTTACTGTCAAGAAAGGAGTATTTTTAGTGTCTTTTTACAAGATTGATTAGAAGACAACAGCTTCATCCTGGCTCCACCAAAAACAAGCACCATAACTGTTCCTGCGAAGAATTTAAAAGGCTCAACACTAAACCACACGAGATATGGAAATGGATTCTTAAGCCATTTGTCCTACTTCAATTAATCCTCACTAATTCTGGAGATGTAGATGTGCTTTATTGCTTATCTCTGAGGAACCGAAAACAGCAGCAAGCACGAGTAGGACTCTGAAGCTTGCTCTTTAACGCACCCATCTTGGAGAAGGAACCCAAACCACAGACTCTTCTCTCCTCCGTAAATTCCCTAACTGCCGGTCTCCATAGTTCTGATCTGACTTTACTGCACACTTTCAATCCGTGGAGTTATCTTCTGCCCAATGGAACTGATAAGGGTGAAGAACAAAGTGCTGTCATCCTTATTACAGCACATGGCCTGGGATATTAGCACAGGTAGGCAGAAAGGGGGGTTAATTCCCTTGCACTGAGTTAAGAACTGATCCTCTTTTTATCCTGCATCCAAGTTCAGTTCTCTAATGGCTGCATTAAAGGTTTCCATACAAACAGGCAGAAGGCACAAGCCATTGCTGCAATATATGGTGAGAAACCCATGGTGTCAATGTTCATTAAGGCATTTTCTGAGAAGGCTGCATAAAGAGATTGGGAGCAGTCGAAAACCAGACTGGCCACTTGAAACATTTCAAAAATCAAGTTAAAATGTTAATGACTTGCAAGTGAATTTGATTTGGGAAAGAGGAGGGGGGAAGTGGTAAATGAGACGTGGCTGGAATTGCTGCAGATGAATCAAACATCATGCTAGAAAAGTTTCACTCACAGAGAAGCTCAAGAAGGATTAAATCGCGACTTGCTGACATCTCTGGGTCAGCTTTCCATGCACTGGAGTGTCCTTTGCAATAGATTAAATTGCTAACTACAAGCTGATATATACCTTTTCCCCAAGATGCAAAACTTCCTCTTTCAAATATATTAGGTAAATATATTTGATTTGGCTACATCTGAGAGACAGCACAGAGATACAGGCTGCTCTAAAAGAAGCCTTGTAAATGCAAGCCTTGCTAAATGGAAAGGTTTACAGCTCGGACCTCGAAGATAGGGTATTATTTTTCCTCATTTCCTCAGCTCTGTTGAGTATTTCTGTCAATCCTAACATCCTCAGGAGGCCCGGGTGGATCTAGCCTTGACATTTTTTCTCATTTGTTTCACACAGTTTTATTGTTACGAGCTCATTTGCAATCAGGAGTTGAAGACAGTCATCAAGCGAACGAGCCCGGGCAGAGCACAGCGCTTGCTGAGATTTTATTTCCTCAGAGATTTTGGTGAGCACCGATAATCAGACTTTCTTGTGGGCAGCAGTAAAAGAGGAAACCATAGATTTATATAACAAATAGCAAAAAGATGTTATTTTAAGGACGTTTTTACAAGAATAGGCTCAAGCTATTATTCCAACTGGGAGACAACTGCAGAAATGCTAATCTGCAATGGTTACACACCAGGACCAGCTAAGCCTTTCAAAACAGTCCTGAATGACTCGTTTCCCTCTGCTTTCTGTGGGTTCTGGCTGTGTTGCAAACTTGTCCAGACTCTTAAGGGTTCTAACAAGTCCCCTCTAATGACTTCGGCTGCCAGACAGTCTATGCTTAAATTTGTCAATGTTTTGCAGATCTATGCTTAAATTTGTCAATGTTTTAAACTTAAGTCAAAGTTTGCTTTTTTCTTCATCTTACCAATGGGGGGGGAAAAAAAAAAAAAAAAAGGATGCTAAAGCTCAACAAATTTTGGACAAGAGAGAGGCAACAGGAGTTCAATATGGAAACCACCAGGTTTGGAGGTATGGGGCAGGATTAGTGCTCTTTCAGTCTCAGAAAACATAAAACAGGTACCAGGGTTAAGTGAATAGGGAAAAAACAAAATGGGAGGTTATAAATCCCAACTTTGCAGAAATAACTGCACTGAAAGTATTTGCACTGCTTTCTAAAGTACTAGCTTTGTCAAGTCACCATCCTGAAGGAGGCTCACAACCTGTAATCTGCACTGTGTCAGATAACTATTCCCTTTTTCAGTCCTGGATGCTTTAGATGAAGATCAAGCTCTGCTCTTTACATATCAGGCATAATAAACACATTTGCATCATTTAAGCTCTCCTCACTACTAGGCCAGGTTTTGCTCATTTAGCCCTGAGAAAAGAGAAAAGACTTCTAAAATAATAGTGCATGTGACAACATCTGACTTATGCACCTTCCAAAGCAAACAACTAGGTTTGGATCAACACAGAAATAGGAAACAGATTAACTGTTCCTGCAGAAGGTTTCAAAATATTCTCCTTAGATATTCCTATAATAGAAAATCCCATCTGCTCTGTATGAAGCTAATGAAGTCACTTGTCATAATGTGTCTTTTCTGCTCTCCTCATGGCCCAAGAAGTCCTTTTTAGCTGATAAAAGGGCATCTAGAATGTAATGTTGACTTCCATTCTTGCTTGAGTTAATAAATTAATGGAGAAATGCTTTTAATACAAGATTTTTTTTTTTTTTTTTAAATGTGGTTTTAAAAATTAACACAGAAGCTAAAATTAATTTATCAGGTGACTCAGGTCATTTTAAAATCAGATATATTAACATGGATAATAGTTTCTTTTTTAATCTAGATGAAGGCGATTTATGAATACTGGGAAATTTTGCAGATTGCCTGTGGGTAGAGTTTGGCATGTGTGTAATTATGTGGGATCTCTGAAGACATTTAAAGGCCAATTGACTGCTTTTAAATCATCTCTCTAAATTAGCATCAACTAAAATATTAAGATTTTGTCGCCAGATGATAGAACCGTATTTCAGTGTTGCCAGTTTTGGCCCAGCAATTCAGGAGCCCTGAAAATTCATCCTTAGATATGTTTCCATAGAATATTTATTAAAAATTACTTACTAAATTGGTATTATGAAAGACTAATTAATTTTAAAAGAAATGAAAACATTCTAGAGTCACTGGAGAAAAACTGAGTTCAGTGAAGGCTTTAATTGCAGGGAATAAATCACACTGCTCGGCTGACTGCAACAGATCAGATACAGGAAAAATAAGTTTTCTTGGTCTCTTCCCCATATATTTCCTGATGTGTGCCCATCAGTATTAGCACCCTGGCTATCTATCAGAAGGAAACTGCCATGCAGGCTGCTGCCAGCCTGCTCCTAATACAGAGGGGTTTGTTTGACAAAGGCACGTTGCACTCGGAGCTTCAGCTCTGAATATGAATTTCATATTTCTATGAAATTCCCCTGCTT